AGTTTTCTTTACTGGTTTTCTATTGTATATTTCCGATTTTTTTATTTTTCTTAGTAAATTAGGATCTACGGGAAAGATATATATTTATTATTTTATTTATTTCATATCTTTTTTCTTTTTTCTTTATAATATTAACAATAATCTCCATGAATATACTCAAAATTTAAATAACAATATTCCCATTTCATGAACTTTCTGTGTATCAATCACCGGTAATACATACTTCAGAATTATGAAATGCTTTACATTTATTATGGAACCAGACAATTTCGATAAATTAAACTTTGACCATCTTATGTTGAAATATAATTAAGCGTAAAAAAGATATTTATTATAATATAATAGTTATTGCTTTTGGTGCAGGCCTTTCTGAATTTCGATCATCTCAAGTGAGTTTTAAATTTTGATTTTGTGTTAATGAGAAATGGTTAGTGACATCAGTTTGTGTAATATCATGTACGTCAAATTTTTTATATTTTACAAATTTCGATGAACAATTCTATGCATTAAAAGTTTGTCGAAATTCTGCTTTACTTGATGGAATGTAAATGCAGCAAGAAATATTCGAGACATTTTTAAATACACGTGTGACAATAATGGGATAAGGCCTCTAGCCTTTCGAAGAGCTTAAATATTTAATGCAAGTTATACTGGTTACCCGCCAGGGAATGCGATGGGTGAGTGACTTAAGAGAATAATGATAGAAATCCCGTGAAACTATGGTCATCTCAGTAGCACATATACGTTTTATGTATAGGGTTCATAGAGAAGTTCGTCTGATTGGCTAATTAATTCAATTTAATTTTACATTATTTATACAGTTTAGAGTACTTTTTTAAAAAACGAAACCAAACATAATAAAGTAAAAAAAAACATATAGAAGGTTTCATTCGAGCTGTAGGACCCCATAGCCAAAAATAAGATCTAATTCTCGTCCGTTTAAAAAAATTAGCTATGTAATAAGTTGATTTTATCGGATTTTGAGAAGTTATTGCTATACTAACTTTTTTAAACGGACGAGAATTAGATCTTATTTTTGGCTATGGGGTCCTGCAGCTCGAATGAAACCTTCTATATGTTTTTTTTACTTTATTGTGGCTGGTTTTCGTTTTTTAAAAAAGTACTCTAAACTGTATAAATAATGTAAAATTAAATTGAATTTATTAGCCAATCAGACAGACTTCTGCCTATGAGTATATATCGACATGCACATCGATTTTCGAGTATTGCGATGTTACCCAAATACTTGGAACGTCCCAAACTATGTGATGAATAGCATCATACGTTTCAGCAATAACAATACGGAAATAAATACGTATCTCATACGATATTATTTATCACATGGTTTGGGGCGCCCCAAATACGTAGCTCACTACTTGGTACCACTAACCAAAATTTTTTTTTTATATTATGACAATATGCTGAATGAAATGTAAATCATCTTAATAAGCACTAATAAAGGAAATTAATAAAAAGTTTATGCGTAACAAAGAATTTTATTTTTTTAATTCAATTTTTGTTAGCTTTTTAACGCTAAGGTTAATTTTCCATCCTACTACGTATGAAATTAAAAAAAATTAATATTTTATCTTATCTGCAGTTTATTTAGAAATTTAAATCGTGGCTTCAACAATTAGGTACCACGTTGATTGATTTAAGCCTTTCAATATAAGAATTGAAGATTTAACGTTATGCTTCGTAGTAAAAGGCAAAACTTAACATCAAAAAAAAAAAAATCTTATGAAATAGAAAAACGTGGAAATTTGTATAAGGCTTATATAAATTATGAAATAAAAAATGATTTGATAAACATGTATACGTGATGAATTAGGTTAAGTATGTTTTATTTATGACGCAATATCGATGAAATAGCCTAATGCTTATGCCGAGTATTATTCATAATCACATGAAAGCCACTTTTTTAAAGGTTGACTAGTATAGATATAGACATTGCAAAAAAATATAATTCGATTGTTTAAAAGGAATATTTATTTCCTGCTTAGGCATTTCAGATTTGTTTTTTTTTCTGTCATTTTTTATGATTAAAACGATGGACATTGACGTAACAAAATACCATTCAAAGATTGACTTAACTGAGAATGACAATAATGAATTTAACGAAAATCTTGGAAATGGCGATAATTCAATTTCTCGAAGACACGTTTTAACGCCGCAGGAAATTACCAAAACTTTTCGAATAATGGCTTTTCGAAAATGTGAAAGGCAAGCCAGAGGAAGATATCGTAGAAGATCTTTAACAAGAACATTCTGGTTTATTATGTTTATGATGTTATTCTTATCATTAATGGGTGCCGGACTTGGAGGACAATTGGGTACTTATTTTCAAATTTTTATATTTTTTTCTCGATTTTTTTTTATTTATTTATTTAATATATATATATATATATTATTTATCAATTTTTAATTTAAAAAAATATTTTTTATCAATTTTTGATTTTAGAAAATGTTAGTACATGGAAACGATGGCCTGAATTTGGAACTTTAGTTGCTCTCTTTCTGCTTATGATGTATGTTTATTACAAGGTTTGTAACTTTTTTTATAGATATTTTTTACTACGTCAAAGTTTTTATAATTTATGATTAATATTTTTCGTTAGATAACTGAAGTTGTTCGATGGTGTTTTTACTGGTAATTATATTAAAGATATATGATACACAAATCTTTTTAACCAAACTAATATCAATATATAATGATAATATTTGAAAACTATTAAGGTTAGCAATCGCTACCATAATTCTTTTGATTATAAATCAAGGATCAATTGTTAACGAAAATAAATCAGGTTTTGCTTCAACGTATGAGACTCGTTTGGTTTTAATTGTTCTTGGAATGTTTGAAGCATTGACATTAATAATATGGGTGTTAATACGTTATGGTTATCCAAAGATAGTAAGAGACGCTTATTGGCTCGATACTATTTGGTGGTGGCGTATTAAACAAGATGATGATAGAGGAATTGAAGGTGATACTGTAGGATGTTTTCGATATTTCGGTTGGGAAAGTTATAGTCTTTGTTTTAGGCATGGTATTGTCAAGTATGTTGGTCAGGTTGATGAAAATGGTTTGCCTCATGGACCTGGTGAATGGGTTGATGATTCATTCGATGGTGAATGTTTAAAAGGTGTGCTTACTTTTGCAGATTAATTAATTTTATTTATATGAACATATACATTTATCAACATTTATTATTATTATTATATTATTATAGGTATTTGGGAACATGGTGTACCTATCGGTCCATTTCAATCGAGAGGTTCAGGCACTGGCGACGCGTTTTATTCTGTTCGTGTAGGACTGGTGAAAAATCGTCACACACCTTGGGACGAATGGAGACTTTTTCCTAAACAATATCAAAGTGGAATTGATGCTTGTGTAGCGTCTATTGAATGTTCGGTTTCTGGAAAGTATCTTAAATATCTCCCTCGTGCAACTATAATTATACCACCAAAGTGTGAAGATCCTGATCAAGATGATAATGAAAGTTATATATCACCCATTGAATATTGTCTTGGATGTTTAAAAACATTTGCTTTTGCAACGGGTTCCGATTTTGCAGTAAAAGAACATTCTTCTGTCATAATAAGACTTTCTGATAATGGTTTAGCCATTACAGGATATTATCCTATCAATTCAACTACATCCAAGGACAAGGTAGTTATTAGAAGGGTGCCAATAAAGAATAGGTTAGATTCTTCTAAAACAGATTATATTATTGAAATTGACGAATGGCGTCCATCAGGTAGCATTTGCTCAGGTTCTATGATTGATTCACCAACTGGTACTCATAGAAGTTCACAGGTAACTATATAGAATCAAAATTATTGACTTTTATTTTTTTAATAATGTACATTTGCTTATAGAAATTTTGGAAATGAAATTTGTAAATATTAGGAATGCATTATTTTCATTCATGGATTTAATTGTCCATCAATATTTGCAATGGAAACATTAGGTCAATTTCTTGCTCTTGCCGATCTACCCAATTACATAAAACCATTTGTATTTTCTCCTCCTGGTACAAATTCATTATGGTATTTTGGTTCAAAACAATTAAGCTGTTCTAATGAAGCTTTGAATGGTAATTTGTATATTTAAATATCTCAACATTATATTATACTTTAATTTACATTGTATACATTGTATTAAATCTTTTTAATTATTATCTTTAATTCTTTTACATAGATTTTCGAACTTTTTTACAAAAACTTTGTGATGCAGGTTTTTGTAATATACATATAATGGCTCATTCAATGGGATGTACAATTGCACTTAAATACATAAAAGCTTTTGAAGGATTATTTCAAACTGCTGGAAGTTCAAATGATAATGATAATGATAATAATAATAATAATCATAAGGCCAAACATATACCTATGAAACTTTCAACTTTTACATTACTTAATCCGGATGCATCATACAAATCATTTGTTAATGAAGATTATGCAAATCTTTCAAATTATTGTAATCATATAACTATTTATTCAAATTCTCGTGATTTTGCTCTCAAAGTTGGAGAATATTTAGGTAATGATAAATCATTAGGATTACATACTAGTGACTTATATTATAATGATAAATTAATGGATGTGGATTTAATTGATACTACACAATTGGACGTGAATATTCATAAGATGAGACATAATTTCTTCAATTTAAATAGGTTATTAGTTGATGATCTATCAGATATAATCGTATTTGGAAAACGTGCAAGAGAAAGAAAAACTAGATTAAGTCGTAAATATGTTGGACGTGAAAGTGTTGTTTATACCTTTTTAGTTGCACCGAGTTACGTGGTTAATAAATAAAAATTTTATTATATATTCATTATTGTTATAATTGGGTTATATGATAAATATTCTCATAATCCTTTTATATGGACACTACTTATTTTTATTAAATAATTTCAGTTATATAAATATATACATTTAATATTTAATAATACAATTTAATCATACAATTTAATAATACAATTTAATCTTTCTATAACTACATAATTTATAATTTTTTTAAAATATTTAATAAATAATTAGTTACAAATATTAGATATAATTTTATAAAATCAAAAGGATGACAATAACCAAAATTTTATATAATATTTTAAGAAATATAATAAAAGAGTGAAACCAAAATTTGAAATAAATACTTTAAAAATATCATAAAACAAAAAAAAAATAAAATAAAGTTTATAGAAAGAATTGTTCATTTTCAAGTTTTGATTCTACACGGTGCCATTTTCCATCTTGAACTTTCTCTGGTCGAATGGGACCTGAATTATTACCACCTCGACCTCTTCCTCTTCCTCGTCCTTTGCCACGACCTCGTTCATTCGATATAGGTCTATATTCAACAAAATATCTAGCAAGGTTTGCAATATTATGAGCGTAACTAGCTGGTGTTACTTGAGAAAGTGAACGACTACACCTTTAAAAAAAACAAATGTATATTGCAATATGTGAATTTCAAATGAAATAAAAAATTTAACTATAAGAATTGTAAAGAAATTTTCAATACCTGGAAGACAAAAAGCAAAGTCTAAAAGTCAAATTATAAATCTCGGCAGCAGAATAGTTTCCTTGATTTAGAATCACATGATAAAATCCAGAACGAGCAGTTCCAGTTTGACTAACGTGAGATAATAAAACTAAGAATTGAATTTAATTTAATCAATAATAATTAACAATGATAATATTTAATAATTAACAATAATAATTAATACTGTTTGCTTTACATACAGAAACTAAATTCTTGACTCATAACGATCTCAGTGTCAACTATTGTTCCGTGACTACAATTTCCTCCATTAATGAGTTTAAATCTAAATAGAATAAAGGTATAAAAAAAAGGAAACTTTGAATAAAAAATATTATAAAAGTAATTTACCTAGCATGATGTCGTTTTTGTATAATCATAAATGTTAATTTTGGTGGCGGTAGATTTTCGGATCTATAATAAGTTTCAAGAGCAACAAGTAATGGTTCCAATTCATCTGCTATAACAGTTTCAAATTGAGTTTCTCCAACACCATCTCGATAAAAAATGATTTGGTCTGGAAGAAGACCTCCTCTGATTTTACGTTGTTCAAATAATTCTAAAACCATATCGTTAAGATTTTCTATTATATCAACATCATGTCTCAATTTCTCATTCATACGATAACGACAACAATATTCTGTTAAAGTGTCATTCATTGAACCACAAATTGCAGATACACTAGGTCGGCCTTTTTTCTTATCATCTCTGCTTGGATGATAAACATCTGCAGCGAATACCATATGCTAACAAAAAATAGTAGCATAAAATCAAGAAAATTATTTTAATATAAATTTAAATATTAATTTTAAAATAAATTCTGAGAACAAGCAAATATAAGATGCTTACAGCTCTTTCACACTTGAAATCAAGTTGACCATCGGCCAAACGAGAATTTTCGCCATTAAGTTTAGCATTTATTTTTAATGCCATATTATTAAAAACTTGTCTTAATCTACGATTTTCCTTAAGACCCTTAGTAAGAATGCATTGGTTCATAATGCCTAATTTCAAATAGCAAATTCTTTTTATTTTTGCGTATAAACAGTCTTCTTCTTGTTGTTTTTTTGGAATAATACATATAATCAATTGAGCTGGTTTTGAAGGTTCTATTAAAGAATCTTGGACAGCTAACATAATGGCCTATAAAGCATAAAAGTTATATAATATTAAAAAAAAAGACTAGTGGAAAATTAGTAAAGATAATACTCTATCGCATACTTTTTTATAATCTTGACAATTGCTTATCGAGATTTTTGGCATGTGTGGTACATTCTAAAAGATTAAATAAAATATATTAATTTATATTAATTTGGGTTTTAAAATTTTTTATCAAAAAATAACAATTGTAGAATGAATAAAACAAACTTACCAAGCCTTTTGAAATTAATACTTCCTTCAGGAGTCTGATTGCAGACTCAATTAAGGATATTTTTAGTTCTAAATCAAAGCAAACCACAGACCAATTATATAAGTCGGCACACTGTAATGACAAAAATAAATTTTTTTGAGATATCTATGTGTAATCAGCAATTCACAAAGTTTTGAACAATCACCTTATTAAATTTAATAATTTCCCATTCCCCCTTTTCAGTAGTTATTTGTTTATTATTAACATTCATAGGTGGTGAAACAAGTTTTTTTGCTGAGAAATCAAATAAATATTGTTAGTTTAGACAATAAGCCTTATAGTATGATAATCCAAAATTATATGAATATAAATAATGTATTAAATGTATTACATTTTAATTTCACAAATCCAATGTTATCCACTTTAAATGAAATAGACTGTAACCTTTTGTCACTTCCATGTTTGTACTCTTTTTGAATACCTTTACTTATTCTATCAAATCTCTCATTTGGTCCAATCACTGTCTTTTTAATCATATCCTCTTGTTGAAGTTGTGTAAGATCATCAGTTTTATGTTTTTGACCTATAAATAATTTTAAATGGTTTAATCTTTTATATATATAATGAACAATCATTAATTAATAAAAGTTGCTTAAAAAATCTTACCACGAACCAACACACATACTTCTAAAGGAAAGAAACTAGTACGATATCCTTTTTTAACTATAATACACGGAAGATTTGGATATACTAATGGTAATCCTGAATCTTCATAATATTTTTTAACAGAAGTTTGCACTTCATCTTTCATAAAAGTTTGTTTACTAGCCGATTGGAAGGTAACATCAGTAATTGTCTTTTCAGAATCAGAATAAGTGGTGATAAATCTTAAATTTTTTAAAAATCGGTTAAGATACTGAATATCTCTTTCATAAAGTCCTTTATGCAAGTTTACACTAGGGAGAATTACAGAAAGTAAATCAATCAACTTCCCAGATGGATAATATGTTGTGGCACAAATATCATGATTGACAAGTAATTGATCTATTAATTTTTTTTTTTTTTTTTAGTGGGTTATTTATGAAAGATCTATTTTTACTCAATTTGTTAATATGATTAATAAAGATTTATGGACGACTTACTCCACCCTATACGAACACTTTGATAGAATCCAAACATAAGTTCAAGTCCACCATATAAATACTGTGGCTTATCGGGAATTGGAAAGGTTCTCCTTCCAAGAGTTAAGTTTCTTGAACGAACATCAGAATTAAGATATATATTTAACACTCGCAAGAGATTTGAAAGTCTACTATCCAGAATTTGATAATTATCTTGTTCAATATAATTTTTTAATAAGCTAAAATCAATCTCTGCACTAAATTTAAGGATAGCAATATATTGTTTTCCATCTATCTTGGCCTATAAAAAATAATATAATAATCAGTGGATAATGTTTTCAAAAAATAAATAAATAAAAATTGAACCCTTACATTTAAGCGTTTTTGATTACCGAATTCAACGGAGGAATAAATCATATTTTCATCAAATGCTGGAAAAACATTTGAGCCAAATTTTTTAAACTCATATAAATTACGAAAAACTTTGTACATATCATTTTTTTTCGCTTTTCTTCCTTGAGTTGAAACTTCAAAAGTATAACTATATAATTTATTAAAACTGAACTATTATAGTGAAAAAAAAAGTTTTTGTAAGTTTTGTATATGAGTTTGATATAATCATATTTTAATGATTATATAATACTTGCTTTAACTCTCCGGAAATTTGTTTCTATTTCAACAATTTCATCTATCTCATCTGTCTTTGCTGGTTCTTTCGGTCTTCGAGCTATCTCGAAAGTTGGAGCTTTTGGTGGTTGATTTTGCATGATAAATAATTAAAATTGATTTTTTAATGTTTACGAAATTTCACTGACTAAATGGTATATATATATATGCGATTGACAAAATAGGAATTTGCGCAGTTATTAGGACAGAAGTTGCAGACGCATTCAGCGGTCCATTATTTTTAATGAATGCATTAAGATAATATATATTACTGTTATACAGTAAATATTGCATCATTAAATTAGACAAAGTTTTACGGCGTATCAGTATTGTAACGTGACATTTAGCCTAATTCGAAATTGTCGATCTGTTGCACTCAATAAAGGAATCACATGTTCCAAGTCGTTGCAAAAGTCATTGTCTGTGATAACGATTTAGATCTTCTTTTGATTAAATCTCAAGCATTTTAATTTTGACCCAGTATGGATTAAAGTTACAATTGAACTCAGCTACGCATATATGCATTACAGTTGTAAAATATAGTAATTAGTCATAATCGTTGTGTTAAACTAATTCATACTGCCAAGATACTATGAGATCGAGCTATGCTAAACTGACAATAAAAGAAACATCAATGTTTAAGCACTAAACACTGTTTGGTTTTCAATCTTCTTGAATTTTCTATATCTACCTACCTACGCATTTACGTACATGCTTTCATTAATTTTCCCAAGGAAAAACTTCAGGAAGATCAAATTACATTATTACCCAAAATAGAAAATTACCATACAGCCGCTTTCTCGAAGATCCACGCCATGACCTAAATAGTTTATTTGCATTGTTTCCCAATTGATGACAAGCATATATTACACTGCTAATGTTCTAATCAGATTGTTTTGGTCATAAGATTGAAGAAGATTAATGGTTTTTTTAATCCATTGTGAAGTTTAGGAAAATGAGTCAATTATTGCCTGGTTTCAGACAAGAATTATCCGGTTTAGTCGTGTTTAATATTCGTATCAAACTCTCAATTAGTCTTTTTTTTTTTTTCTTTGCAGCCTTCACGCAGAATGATTTAAACCCCTTTTTTGAAACAAGGTAAAGCCAGAATTAATAGTTATATTAAGATTTATGGTATCTTTCTTTTAATTCTAAATATATTTCAATAAGAATATCTGCATATATAACTTATATTATATCTTGAATTTATAAACAAACTTATACTGATTGTAATCGATTAAATTTTAATAATTTTCAATCAAACATTATCATTCCATCGATCGAATTTTTTTTAATTTACATATGATAGATCAGTCGTGATTGGTCATGCTCGGTAATTTTAGAATAGGATAGTGGTTTGAATCAAATTTAATGATTAATACGTTTGAATTTTGTCACGATAAAATGAGCAGACAAAAAAATTTAGCGAGCAATAAGAGCAACAAGATTGAATAACTGGTCATCATGTGATCCGATCATAATCTCTACTATTCTTTTATTACTATGTAGGAGTGTGATTAAAATAACTTGCCAAATTCTTTTAATCGACAATTCACAAAAGGTGAAATTGTATTAAGGAATCTAACGATATATATATGAGTGCCGTCAAAGGAAAACCTACAATCTAGCTTTCAATTATATTATGTGCACAGTTGGCCATCTATCGACAATCTATCATCTGACTTAAAATCATATTTGCGTGATTGTCAATACGCAGATGTCCAACTGTGCACAAAATATAATTGAAAGCCAAATTGTAGGTTTTTCTTTGACGGCACTCATATAATATAGAAATCAGCATTCCTGACTATTTAAAGTTAATCTGTTTATTAAATAGGCTTATAATGAAAGTTGTAAAGCTATTTTTGTCATTCTAATGATATATGAACCTCACTTCCATATTTGCCTTGTCATTAAAGATGTCATACACCTTCCATCTTTGTATCGCCATAGACATGATAATCTTACCTTTATAGTATTAGGCATTAATATGCCCTCCATAAGTGCATCCTTCATTAATGCACATTTGTGCAATTCCGCAATACGTAATATATTGCAATTAGAATACTACGTTACAATTAGATTTTCCATAAGTGTAAGGGCACTTTTCCCCCAATAAGTGCACTTATGAATGGCCGACTTTATTCTTAATGGCTTAACCCATGTGAATTTCCTCTAGACTCGTATACGCGGTTGCATAACCTTGATACTGTGAATTAGTAGTGAGATGTTATAATCTTAGCGCTGACATCATGAGAAATTAAGATGAATTTAAAGGTTGCTCTCGCCCTTAGTTCATCACCAAATGTACACTCTCTGAAATCGTCTTTAAATAAAGGATACATTCTTTTATACAATAAATGCTTATTAATCATGTAAAATTCGTGTTCCTTAATTTATCATCAAGGTTCCCGCCTCTTTCCTATTCGATGGTGACAATAGTGTTACGATTGTTTTCGGGAGAGCTTATAGAACTATCGGCATAATTTAACTCCAATAGTTAACTTATATGTTCTTTGTAGAGAACTAGAGTAAGAAATAACTTGTACAATCGGTTATAGCAATAACTTGAGCACATGAGATTACGTAACTAATTAAAGATCGGGGCACTCAATTATATCTACTGTAATGCGCAGAATTTTTGAGAGACTGCGCAGTGAAATTTTTAAAATTAGGCTAGCTAGGATAATTATGGCCAGCTAGTATAATTCTGGTCGGCTTACATAATGTTGCAGGCTGCGCAGGATGCACAGCCTGCGCAGTGGATTCAAAAAATTCTCGATTTGCCCATCTCTAATCTACAGGTAATATCGGGGGTAATTATAAGATAATATAATGTAATAAAAGAATATTAACAGTTATGGTAACAATAATAAACATTAAACTCGGATTTATACAATAAGTGAGAATCCGATTCTTGTTATAATCCGTATAATCAAGCCATCGAAATCTCTCATCGAGAAATTAATTCCTAATACTCCTATATTAAAGACATTGAAATCTTAAGCTTTATTCGAAGAGCGAACAAGCTACTTTCGAGATATGCTTTTACATACTTTGGTTATATATAGTCACTTTTGACTAGATGTAGGTAGACCTTTCTCTAGGCTTATAGCTAACCTTACTATTTTAGAACCATTTGTCTAATCAATCGTCTATGTCTAATCCCTTCGCCTTAAATCTTGACATAAATATTGGTACTGTTCCATACTGCTAAGCCTTTGCCCTAAGAATAAGCCAAAAAAAAATAAATGAATATAAAATAAACAAATAAAAGGCCCCTTGTGGCTTCGATACTTAGTGTATTATAGTCACCTAATAATCACATTATGGTCACGATTTAATTAATTATATTGTGACAAGAGTAAGATCTGCGGTAATTATTTTTTTTTATTTTTATTTTTATTTTTTTTTTGGTATTAAGGTGATTATTTTTTTTAAAAATATTAATATATTTTAATATACCTATATAAAATCTTTCCCTGTTGTATTAGCCTATGTGAACTGTCAATTATTAAATTTGATTAAGTCTGTGTCAAGTTATTTTTAATCAAAGTTTTTTAAAAAATTTTATCAAAAAAATTTGCTTGCTTTCTATTGACTCATCCTGTAACGGATATTTGAGATATAATTATTTAATGCTGAATATATAAACAGAAAATTCTAGTTGAATAAAGCATAGTTTTACTTTTTTTTCTGCTCCTAACTAGAAACCATGCAATATGAATCTTAATTAAGAGTTCAAACTAAAATTAAAACAGTTTGAAATAGTAGATAAAAATTATTCTGATAGATTTGTTGAAAAGAATTCTAAAATAGCTGATAAATCTAAAACTCAATGAATTCATTTAATAGTTTTTTTTTTAGATTCTTTTTCTTATTTATATCTTATCCTGTTTTACAAAATTTCTAAGAAGTTTTTTGTTCATCTCCCATATTTATTATTTCTGTGAACCATGATTCATCTTGTTCTATCCTAAAAATTCGGATCTATCTTGTGGTCTAAAAATTCAAATCTAACGATTTTAATACTATCCAATTTGCTTTGATAGATGAATAGAGTGTTGCTTAAATCATTAACTTCTTCTAATTACTTTTTCGCAAGATATTAGCAAAAAAAACATGGATGCGTCATAATGCACTGCGCCACAATAAGCATCAGACCCTCCTTTTTTATGTGCTTCTGATGAATAAGTGCTGCCAAGCGAAAATCTGGATCAAGTTATTATGCGGCGAACTTAGACCCTAAAAAATCAATGATTCATCGATGATGACAGTCTTCACTAGGGTGTTGGGTTTCCCAAATTACGGTGTTTTCAAGGAATTTACTATTTAAAATTATACATATTTATTCCTTAATTTTGCAGTAAATCACAAGTCCTCACTCATAATAGAAACATCTAAAAACAATTCATCAGGGCTAAGTTTTCCACATAATACTTTGCAGAAACAGTCAATTTAACAACTTTAAAACTACTTTAAAGCAACTATAAAGTAGCTATATAGTTACTTTAAAGCAACTATAAAGTAGCTATATAGTTACTTTATAGTAACTATAGTTTTAAAACTACTACAAAATAGCAATACGCCTACCACTACTTACTATTTTGTTACAATTTTATAAAAAATTTTAAAAAATCGAAATAGTAAAATAGTAGTAAAATAGTGGTAAGTAATAGTAGGCGTATTGCTATTTTGTAGTAGCTTTAAAATTAAAATTATAGCTGCTATAAAGTAACTATATAACTACTTTATAGTTACTTTAAAGTAAGTTCTAAAATTGCTAAATTGTACTTTCCGAATCAAGGGTTCCCCAACACCCCCCTTGCAAAAAATTGTTCGCCCCCTGTAATTTTGACCAATCGAATTTTAAGATCAGGTGCAATGTAAAATTGAAATGAATCAGAAAAAAAAACAGGAATAGCTCTAATTTAATGCCACATGGTATTATTTTTGTATTATCGTTAAATCTCAACAATACCGATACTGATTAAACAGGATGAACTGTCAATGTTACACGACTGATCCAAAATTACAAGGGGCGACCAATTTTTTTGGGAACGCTACCAAAGATGGTTAACGTTCCCTTGCCAGCAATCAAATGATGCATTCGAGCAGTAAATTTGTGCCAAATCGGCTAATAATCGGCTTACAATCGGCTAGATTATTGCCGAAACTTAACAAATATATAAATGCGGGGAAAGTAATGATTCCCATTAAAATCAATACTGTACTTTTTGATGTCGCTAGAGATTATCGTTATTATGAATTTTACAGTAATCCATTTTTAGAATTGCTGATTTTTCTTTAGCGATACCGATACTCATTTCTATAATTATATTCTGATATTAAATTAAAAAAATGTATTATTACTTTGTTGTAATTGTAACATTTGTTAGTTGCGTTTTGTACAAATGTTATATTTATCCTTTTTATTTGTCTCCATTACGTAAAATTCCTGGGCCACCTTTTGAGAACTTGTTTATTGGGAATTATGCATCATTTTTAAAAAAAGAGGTAACACTTAAAAAAAAAATATAACATCATTTACAAACTTTTTTTCACTCATTTCTAAATACATATTGTTTTTTAGCCAGCTAAAGCTTTTATTCAATTAAAAAAACAATATGGAGGGATCGTTCGATATCATTCCTTATTGAACCGACCCCATATCATGATTTCCGATCCAAAACTTGTACAACAAGTTCTGGTTAACCGTTCATACGACTTCTCAAAGTACTTTAACAGAGCTGTGATCAGGGAGTTTTTCGGAAATGGAATTTTGATTGCTGAAGGAGATTCTCATAAACGACAAAGAAAATTGATGACTCCTTCATTCTCTTTTACCAATATCAAGGTATACTTTTTCGATCATCAATATCATGAGCCGTAAAAAGTTTAATTCCACATCTAATCATATCAACACTCTAATTTAAAGGAAATGTTTCCAACATTTGTTCAAGCTAGCAATAAATTGAAAGATATTTGGATGAAACAAATTGGTGATAAGAAAGAGGAAAGAATTACAATTACGGATCTAATTCCAAAGATAACTTTAGATGTTATTGGTCTTGTTGGTAAGCATTATTATTATGCGTCATGTTACATAATTTTATTCATCAACTATGCTTTTAATATTAAGTTATATTATTATTTTCTTTTAATATAAAATAGGATTTAATTATGAATTCAATTCTACTACTACAAACTCTGAATTAGCACAAGCATATAAAACAGTCTTTACTCGCAATCCATCACCTGCATACATGGCCCTTGTTGAAATCTTACCGATCGTCAGAAAATTGCCAATCCCTTCTAATAATGACCGTTATAAGTCTGCTAAAATCGTCAATGAAGTTTCTGAAAGATTAATCGCCGAACAAAAAAATAATCCTGTTCAAGGAAAAGATTTATTGGCTTTATTGGTAAAATCAAACGAAAAATTACCTGTTGATGAACAATTAACACATGATGAATTGATTGGTCAAGTAAGCATGCTAAAGTTTTTAAATTTATATAAACTTTATAATTTTTTTAAACTAATATGAAATTTATTAAATTTAGGTTATGACATTGTTAATAGGTGGACATGAAACCACTAGTACAGCACTATCTTGGGCATTTTATTTTCTCGCCAAATATCCTGATGTTCAAGATCGTCTTCGTACAGAATTGTTTGATGTATTTACTGATCGTGATCATCAACCAGCTCTAGATGAAATTGATCAATTGAAATATTTAGAATGTATTTTAAAGGAAACTTTAAGAATCGTTCCACCTGGTATAGTTCGAATATCACTTTCTTCTATAATTCAAAAATATTCTTTCTATCTAATTCTAATTTTGTATATTTATGGATTAAAGTTCCATCACTCCGTCGTTGTACTATAAAGGATGAAATAATGGATGGATACGTTATTCCAAAGGTATTTTTTTTAATTAGTAACTTATTGTTTAAATTATTTAGTAATAAAATCGTGTATTTAAAATAATCTTTTAGGGAACTCCATTAGTGATTCCTGTTTATGCGATCCATCATGATCCCTTAATTTGGGGTGAAGATGCTGAAAGTTTTAATCCATCTCGGTGGCTTGACCCAGAAATAAAATCAAAAATATCAACCAGTACATATTTACCTTTTAGTGCTGGTCCGAAAAATTGTATAGGAATGAAAATTGCTCAACTTGAATTTAAATCTATTTTATCTATACTTGTTAGAAATTTTAAGTTTAAAATAGTTGAAGGATTTACCTTTAAAATGAAACCTGTAGGTTTCCCTAAACCTATTCCTGGAATTGATTTATTGGTTTCAAAAGTTGAAGATTAAATTTGAGGTTTTGATGGGAATTGCTGATCTAACTTTAGAAAATACTAACGCTAACTATAATACAGGTTAATCCTAAGCTAAATCGACCAAAATTTGTCGGTAAAAGTTGATTTATGCTTTTTAGTGTAATGATATTTAAATTGCAATAGTAATTTTTGAATATATTCCTTTAAACTAATAAATATGTGTGAATCAAGAAGTTTTAAAAAAATATATAAAGATAATGAGTGTGAATTGAAACAAATAAAACGGTGAATCGATCGCTCCACAATCCAAAATCTCGTGCAGTCTACATATCGGCCGATTTGTGGAATTTGATAAATAGAGAAACCAATCTGTCATAGCTCTGGTCAAAGTTGCAGATCAT